TAATTTAAAATAGGGAAAATATTACGCTTGCGTCCGATATACCTCGTTTCAAATGAAAACCAGTCGAAAATTTCCGTTTTTGTAAGCTTACACCTGGCCATAAAATGTTATTTCTAGTATTCGACTAGTGATGGGAGTATTCGAGTACTGGAATCGAATAGTATCCGATTCCTTACAAAATCAATTGTACTCGTGTACTCGAACTGGAAACCGATTAAGTACTGAGTACTGAATACCTGCCGAATATAGAACTTGATAAAACGGTCTGAGTTACAGTTTATTATACAATTGAGTGTTATAAGGTTCTTGAACTCCTAAGTGGAGCATAGAGCTTCAGTGAAAACGCGCCATCGGGTTCTATTTTGCGCTAAGGTCTTCACCTCATTCCAAGACTTTCCTTGTTTTCTTATCTCGTCCATGATGGATCTTCTCCAAGTTTGTACTGGGCGACCTTTTTTTCGTTTTCCTTGGGAATTCCACTCTAGGGCAGTCTTTGCAATACTGGAGTTATTTTTTCGGAGTGTGTGACCGATCCAACCCCACTTTCTGGACTTTATTTCATTTACTACCCTCTTTTGTTTGGTCAGGTGTAGTAAATCTTCGTTTCTGATGATGTTAGGCCAGAAGATACGAACAATTCTTCGTAGACATTTATTAACAAAGACCTGCAGTTTGTCTGTAAGGGTTTTTGTCGCTTTCCAGGTTTCACATCCATAAAGTAGTACAGACATGACATTTGACTGGGTAGTACAGACATGACATTTGACTGGAATATGCGGATCTTTGTCCTCGTAGTGTAGTCTCCAGACCTCCAAACAGGGTTGAGCATGCTGAAAGCTTGTTGCGCTTTTCGTATCCTCATACGAATATCGTCTTCTGTACCTCCGCTTTCTGTTATGACACTTCCAAGATACGTAAAGTTTTCCACATTTTCAATCTGCATGTTATTAATGGTGAATAGTGTGTTGTTTCTTGCATTTATTCTCATGGATTTGGTTTTACCAATATTGATTTTCAAACCTATTTTATTGGCTTCAGTGGAAAGTGTTTCCAATTGGTCAGCCACATCTTGGAACCTTTGTCCTAACAGGCAGATATCGTCGGCGTATTCTAGATCGCTTAGGCGTGTGGTTAACATCCATTGTATCCCTCTTATGTCAGAGTCTAGTTTGGAGAGAACATAGTCTAGAGCTATGTTAAAAAGAAACGGAGAAAGCACGCATCCCTGTCTGACTCCAGTAAGTATGTCAAATTCGTCACTGTTGATCCCATTGTGTGTCACGCTGCATTTCGCTTCAGTGTACAGTAACTTTATAATGGAAATTATTTTATGCGGGATGTTTCTTAGCTCTAAAATTTTCCATATCGCATCATGAGATAAGCTGTCAAAAGGACGCTCGAAATCAACAAAAAACAATTGAGTGTTAAGTGATGAGTATTAGTGATTATTTTAACAAGGATCTACAGACCGAGTGTGTCTTATAAAATTCAAGGCTTCGCGCAATCGTACTTGAGACACTGTGTCGGATGTTTAGTTGTTGATTCTGTTAGAATATTTGCGTATAATTAATATTCTGTGGTGTGAATACTTTTGTGTGGGAATAAAGTGTGGTTTTTGACCGTTGTGAAATATAAATTTAGTTTTGTGTTTATAATTTGAACTCTTGTGTTTTTTTGTGTAAATAGAAAATAAATCGAATGAATAAATAAAGGGTATTTTAAATAAATTTATAATATTTTATGCGAAAATAAGAAAAGCCTCAGATCCGAGTCGTGAGCATATTCCCTATATTTTCTTTATTTGTGTTAAGCGACTCGGATGTAAGTCGTTGTTATAATTATTAAAAAAATAATAATTTATAATATTTTTATTATATCAAATGAGTAATATAGCAAATCGAGAACTAATAAAAAAACAAATTTTCATTTCCTAGCAAATTGTTTCTGAACACTTAAGATGAAAACTTCCAAATAAAATTTGGATAATATTGTAATGCATTTTATACACAGAAATTAAATGAAAAAAGTGGAAAAATAATAAAACATTCCCAAATTTAAATTTATCTCGAAAACAAAATACGATCTGGAACAAGAGTACCGGAAATGTTTAATTTTTTTGAGCTCTTCGATTGTGTAGTACCTTCAATTTCAATTTTTTTTCAACAATACTCCGGTATTCCGATTTGGTACTCTCAGCCTTATAAAAATTTCCAAGAAATTAATAACTAATGGAGTTTCAACAAGCGAAATGAAAATCGCAATATTAAACAGCATTGTAACCAGGTACAATATCTGACTGTTATGCAAATTAGTAATTAGAAAGTCAGTATGGGCAAAACCAGCTTATTCAAATTGTAGATAAATCCTATAGTCTTTTATTGAAGGATTTTAATTTATTACCCTTGTATACGTAAAGATTTTGAAGAAATTAATATCAGGTTCAGTTTTCAATAAAACAAAAATCTTTAAGAGAATTGTAACTATGTAAAATACCTGCCTAATATGCTAATTAGTAATAAGAAAGTCAAATCGGCGGTTTTTTTGTCACAATCAGCACACTCATTAGGATTGTGTTTTTTCTAATGTTATCGATAGAACATATTCTACATCGTTTCCTGTCACGTACTAGTTATATTTCAATATTCTTAATAGTCTGACAACATTCCATCCTCTCTTGGTTGTATGTTCAGTCAAACAATTGGCAAATTTAGAAGATCCTTTTTCCCTCCTCGTAGATTCGCCACTGACTACCCAACGCTTAGCTAGTTTTCATACAATTTGTATTATCTTATCAAAAAAAAACAAGCATTTGCAAGAAAATTGCACTTTCATATAAAAAAACGAGTTATTTATCTCGTACTTTTTTTAAGCAAGGTGCAAAATTTAATTACTTAATATTATTATTAATATTAAAAAACAATATTAAAACCTTTAATAAAATTAGCAATATTAAAAAATTTAATTTATTATACATTATAATATTAATATGAATGAGTAGAAATTATTACATTTAAATTTGGCAAATTATAACTCCAGTCGACCAGCGCATGAATTCACAAAATACGATAGCGCGAAGCCGTGGATTTTATACGACACGCTCGGTCTGTAGATCCTTGTACAGTACTCGGTACTCAGTACTCAATAAAGTATCCGATTCCTTACTGTACTCGATTCCCATAAGTAATCGATTCTGACCATCACTATATTCGACCCACTTTGGTTTCGCTAGAAAAGCAGGGATCAATGTTTACTCCTCAGTGGGTCAGTAAGCTCACTTTATGACAGTTCCTTAAAAGTCGTTTGGAATTGGCGGTTTGCATTTTTCCTAAAATTTGTTGGATTTGAGCGGCAATTAAGGCATTCTATAATCGCATCTCAAGCCGAGTAGTACGCCTCAAAAGGCATATGCTTGCGTCTCATACCAGATACCATGTCTCGTCAACACAACAGTATAATTTCAGTCACTTTTAAACTTATATGCGTACTACGTAAAACGCTATTCGCATATAGCAGAAAAAAAAATTAAAATTAATTTTAATTAAATACGTTTGGTAATTGTGCTAGATAAAATAAAGTGCTTTAAAATCATCAAATATTATTTACTACCAATTCGGTTTAAAAATCCATATTTGCTATAATTTTTCGTACAAGTTCTTTTCTATAATTTCTCGAAATAGCTGAAATTATTCCTCGATTCACCTATTAAATAAGTGAAGTTATATTGTTATCAACAAATAACAGAATTTTTCTAATTTTATCTATCATTTTCTTGTCGAAGTCAATAAGCCATTCCTTAAACGCGATTGTTGTCATCGAAGCATTTTTATAAAAACCGTATTTTATGAGCAATGATTTTTTAATGATTTCGAAAGTGTCCTTTGAAACTTTTCCACCTATAGCTTTGTTCCCCAGGAAACAAAAGAAGTCATCTGGAGTAGCTCCGTAATAAATTGCAGATTCGTCACAATTGTACACGTGCGTTGGTTCATATGGTTCATAATGTTTAATTAATGAAGGTAACACATCCGTTATCCATGTATTTGCGGCAGATACATTCGTATCTTTTACTTGTTCAACAAGTTTTTTTAAAGGAAACTTGTGAACGATTTTTCCGTATGCACAATCATTGTCTCTTTGAGTTCGCTGTTTCTTCAGTTTTTTTCTTTTAAAACTGGACCTCTGATAGGAACATTTCGGGTCCTCTTCTCAGAAACCACTCGGTTATTGCCTGTTCTATGTCTAAATCTTTCCCACTGCGTTTTCGTTTTTGGTTTAATTTTGAATTAGCCCGTCAATCGTTGATGACACTGTTTTGGATTTTTTTTAAGTTTGTAAAATTCCAAACTTTCTAACAATTTCGGTTTGACTACACTTGGATTGTTTCGCGTATTCAATCACATGAACTTTTTCCTTTAAAGTAAAATCTTTTCTCTTCTAAAAATGTACATATTAACAGACAACGAAGTGGGTGAGCAATAGACATTTTTAGAGAAATAAAAATATGCTTTATGATCTACAGATGTTTCAGGAAAGTATTGAATTGGTGCTCATAACAAAGTAATACAGTATATATTACCTGACAGACCCTAATAAACTTATTTTATTAAAACGCATTATTTTATTAAGCAGTAAATGGAAACGTTTCGGAACTTAAAATTTCTATTTCTTAAACCGGAGTATACCTATAACCGGAATTCTAATAAGTGGGAATATAAATCGGAAATCGTATTCAGGATTCAGTCTAAATCTGTGCATTCTAAACGTTGCAAAGCAAGCAGACGAAAACTGCACTTCAAATTCAGACATTCAGAGTTCGCTCCGAAGAAGCCAAGAGGCTGAAATATGCGAATGGTGGTACGCTGTAACGAAATAAAGCCTAAACCGTCTATTTTAGTTTTATTCTAATAAGCGGGTTCGACTGTATAAATAAACACCTACCTTCTATCTTTCTTTAAAACCTGAAGATCACATAAAATACTAATACAATTGACTAGAGTATCTAAGTTTAATGAATACGGGTGTACATTTTGTTTTTCGCTGATCGCATTTTCTAACCACTTTTGTGCATTTACCAATATTGATTTTTCATCAGTTTCAGCAGAAAGTTTCTAAAAAAAAAACAATTTATAAAAGTATAATATTTGATGCTTACATTTAAAAATAAAAATATACTATAGTACCAAATACAGCTGCCAAAATAATACCAAAGACAGCTGCTAAACATCGTTAAATTATTAAAAGTTTTATAGACTTTAAAACTGTCTATTTAATATCATCTTAATGGACAAACAACACTCACAGCTCACAAACATAAGAAACTGTTCATCCTACAACCAGCATGAACGCCTACATGCTGTATAATGTACGGCATCAGAATAATAGGTTATAAGCTTTAACATTTTAAATCACCAAAGTAGAAATGCGCCGATTTCTATTGCCGAAACCAATACAGAGCAAACTAGATGATGCTAAAGGTGTAAGAGAGATATGGGGAATCTAAAAGTTGCATTCCACAACATATCTCATCATCTAAGCAAAAATCCTTGACGAATTGGTTTCTTGTACTCATAAAGAGCAAACCTAAATAAAAGAAAATACAGTTAAGATTTGATTTCACGTATAGTGCCTCTGTATATTCGCTTATACGCATTTCATGCTACCCGATTCATCAGAGCGACTGGTACAGAAGCTCTAAAAGTGAAATCAAATCTTTTCCCCATACCTCTCTTAAACCTTTAGCATGCGTTTAGTCTCTGTTGTCTTGCAATTTATAGAAGGCACATATTAAAGCAAACAATCTGAATTTTGGTTTCGTCAATAGAAATTTTCGCATAATTGCGCCGTGGAAATGGATTAACGGAGCTAATCACAACAAAAAGTTAAGAGAGAAAAATTAAAAGCGAAAAAAAGAATCGTGATATAGCTTTCAAAGCTAAATTATTATTATTGCTTGTATAAGCAGCGTATAAGATTGCAAATCTTCAGAATGATATAGATACATGCTTCGAAACTTATAATATCTCTAGTATTTTAGATTGTAATCCCCTCTTTAGATGCAATTTTTGTCAATATCCTTTATAATATTTAATTTCTCACCCTCCCTTTCCCACAAGCATGGAGTGTTACCCGACGAACGGAATACAACTTACCTCCAAAACTCCAAAAACCACATCGTAAGAAACATAGAATGTTGTAAAGGCATTAATGACAAGTTCTTGAAGTTTCTTATTTGTTCCTAATTGGTAACATTCATCTGAAACTTGTATAAGTTCTAAAGCTAGAGCTTGGTTGACAGCTAAATCGAATACCTAAAATAGTGTTTATAAAATTAAAATTTTTCTGAGATTGCATTTCGAATATCAAGAAAAAATATTGTAAAAGAACCAAGCAATAAAAAATAGAACGTACTAATCTTAAGCCTAAACTCACAAAAATGATATTAAATATAACAAGGTATACACGAGCGTCGTAAAGTCTCCTTTCCATTTATTTTCTGAACCATAAAAGTTAAATTAATACTGTTCATAGATTGCAAGAGTGAAGTCAATAAAAATAGTGTATGTGCAGCATTTTTAAACCAAGTGACAGGTTTATTTGTAAAAATCATTTTAAATTGACTCCAAATCAAGTATGGGTGTTGTACAAATAAACATAAGTCATGGCTTGCCATCATATAAATAAATAGGTACGATACCATAATGGTACTAAAGCCTATAAAAAATATGACACATAAGTCCCACCCCAGTGACTGTTATATTGAAGTACTCTCACCCATAAACAAAAATGGAGATATCTTTAAATGCTATAACCACAGAGGAAGTACGCTTCTAAATACAGTGTATAAGATATTCTCCACTATACTATGCCATCGTATGGCACCATATGCAGAACAAATAATAGGAAAATACCAGACTGGGTTTAGAGGTAGTAAATCTAAAATTCATCAGATAGAAACACTGAGACAAATTTTAGAAAAAACACTGAAATATGGCATATATCCACATCACGTATTCATAGTCTACAAGGCAGACTATGGCAGACAAGGCAAATGCAAACTGGACGAGAAAACCTACTGATCAATAAAACGGTTCAACTGGCTGCCTACGCCGATGATATTAATATTATGAGTAGAACATCAACAGGAGCACAGGAAGCATACGCAGAGTTAAAAACACAAACGAAAAGGCTAGGTCTGGAAATTAACACAGAAAAAACAAAAATAATGGTACAGACGAGAAGAAATATAATCCCACAAAACATTATACATGAAGATGACATTGAAACGGTTGGAAAGTTTACATACCTGGGAGTAGAAATATATGCCGATGGAGCAGAGGATGGAGAAATACGAAAAAGGATAACGCAGGCAAACAAAGCTTATTTTGCCCTCTCCCATATATTTCGGTCTAAAAGTGTCCACCGAAATACAAAGATGAAAATCTATAAAACTTTAATTCGGCCAATAGCATGTTATGGCAGCGAAGCATGGGTCCTGAAAGAAACATCCAAAAATAAACTCGACACATTCGAAAGAAAAGTACTGAGGAGAATACTAGGACCTGTAAGGGAAAACGGAATCTTCAGAATTCGATATAACAACGAGCTCTATCAACTGTATAAGGAAACACCCCTGCCAGACTTCATTAGAATACAAAGATTGCAATGGGCCGGACATGTGATACGAATGGGAGAGGATAGGCTACCAAAACGAGCACTGAACGCCAGAATGCAGGGAAAGAGACCAGTTGGAAAGCCAAGAAAGCGCTGGGAAGACACAGTAAGCAGCGACGCACAAGCACTTTTAGGAGTCCGTGTATGGAGAAGAGCAGCCACAGACAGACAAGGGTGGAGGCAAAAAATAAAGGAGGCTAAGGCTCATTTTGGGCTGTAGTGCCGTAGAAGAAGAAGAAGGCAGACTATGACTCTATAAATAGAAGAAAAATGTTCAGACCAATGAAAGAGCTTGGAGTACTAACTCAGTCGATAAATTTAACAAAACTAACTCTTGAAAAAGTTGAATGTAGGGTACGAATCCAGGGGAACTGTATGAACCTTTTAAAAGAAATAACGGGATGCGCCGGGGAGACCCTCTCGTCTGTATACTGTTTATTCTGGCTCTGGAAAAAGTAATACTTACGTTACAAATCAAAACCATTGGTTCAATATATAACAAACCCTGTGACCACTTGTTACAGACAATGACGTGATCGAAGCAGTTAACGAATTTGTATACCTGGGAGCGCTCATCAACACTGAAAATAACACAATTTGCACGGCTGACAGGTGCTATTTTGGACTCAATCTCCTTAAATCCTCAATTATATCGAGACTTATAAAGGTTAATTACTATTTATAACTGGGAATAAGCCACAATTAAAGATAAAAATACGTTTATTGACGTTTCAATTTCCAATTCGGAAATCGTTCTCAAAATACAAACAGTAAATTAAACAAATTTTGTTTTTTGTTACATAGTGAAAAAATTCTTCTAATAATTTAATTTTATCTGACTCATTTATATTGACAATTCAGACATACATTATGCATTTTAAAGTAGACGACTTTAAAATGATATTGCCAATATTGTTGAGTTGCGCTCCTGGGACGACTTTACTTATAAGATAGTTCATTCGATTACATGAAATCAACTTTAACTTGAGAATATCCGTCAGAAAAAATCATAGCATGTAATTCGTCTTTAAAGAGACAAACACATGACATGATGACAGTAAAATTCTCCTGTTAGTGATTCCATAGTAAATTATGAGGGAAAAACCAGGAAAAAAACCTCATAATACTATCCCGACATTGTAAGTATTTGTTCGTGAATTTAGTTTACCTTCAACAAACATCAAAATTCTGATTTTATATGTTACGTTATTTAAAAAACATAAATGATGTATCCTCTATATGTTACTGACTTACTAATACTGTAAACACGCATGAGATAATGAACATAGGGTTTCAATGGAATAATTCAAATATAGTCCTAAAAGAAACGGATGGTAAAAAAAGAAAAATCAAAGAAGCGGCTCTAATTATGCTAAATGAGGCCAATTGTGTCGCAAATTCTTCGGCAGAATGTAGTAGGATCTGGTTACCAATATTGAAAGAGGAAGTTATTAATAAGAAAATACCAGTATTAGTAAGTCAGTAACATATAGAGGATACATCATTTATGTTTTTTAAATAACGTAACATATAAAATCAGAATTTTGATGTTTGTTGAAGGTAAACTAAATTCACGAACAAATACTTACAATGTCGGGATAGTATTATGAGGTTTTTTTCCTGGTTTTTCCCTCATAATTTACTATGGAATCACTAACAGGAGAATTTTACTGTCATCATGTCATGTGTTTGTCTTTTTAAAGACGAATTACATGCTATGATTTTTTCTGACGGATATTCTCAAGTTAAAGTTGATTTCATGTAATCGAATGAACTATCTTATAAGTAAAGTCGTCCCAGGAGCGCAACTCAACAATATTGGCAATATCATTTTAAAGTCGTCTACTTTAAAATGCATAATGTATGTCTGAATTGTCAATATAAATGAGTCAGATAAAATTAAATTATTAGAAGAATTTTTTCACTATGTAACAAAAAACAAAATTTGTTTAATTTACTGTTTGTATTTTGAGAACGATTTCCGAATTGGAAATTGAAACGTCAATAAACGTATTTTTATCTTTAATTGTGGCTTATTCCCAGTTATAAATAGTAATTAATTTACAATGCCACAAGAAAATAGCTTCAGAACAATATTATAAAGGTTAAACTCTACAAAACAATAAAACGTCCAGTTCTAACATACAGATTGAACGAGTTAAATTCGGAACATACGAAATATGTGTTTCGGCTCAACTCCGGTCTAGGTGGCTGGCCAACAAAAGGTTGTCAAATAATTATATTATAAAATTCCAATACTTCAGCGGGCTGCTGGATTCTGAACTAATTCAAGAACTCATTCATAGGTGGCCAAACCACCTATCGCTTCCTAAAGCCGGCCACTCACGGTACAGCGGTGTCGTTCGACATAATCGGACAGAGGCGTTGTTCAATTTGTTGGTATATTTGGTGCGCCCATACACCATACTGCGCCGCAGTATTTGTTCGGTTCTCGACCATGTCAAATCAAACAATCATTTTAGCGTCTCTTACTTTGTGTATAACTAAGCGTAAAAAGAAACCTGAAATAAAACGTAGATTCTGGTGCAAAGAATCCAAGATTTTGGTGCAAAATAAATCTCGTCTGCCCCTGCACCCGATTTACTGGACTGCAATGGTAATTTTAATTCCCTTTTATAGGATGTTCTAAAATTGTTAATTTTTTTTCTTACATACTCTTTACTCACATCTTTGTTTACTTTTTGGAACTTTAAAACTAGAATTTCCATTGCCTGTTTTCGGGCGTTTCTATCGTGATATGTTTTATTCGCTATAATCATTCTTGTATTTTATATAATTCAAAAAAATCTCTTAAAAAATTCTCGCCAAATCAAGCCATTTCGATTTTCTATGCAAGTGTGTAGTTAAAAACGAAGTTGAACAGCGCCGCTGTATCGTGAGTGGCCGGCTTTAGGTAAGCCCCTCTTTCGTTTATCGGAGATGGAGATTTTGAGCGGTATTGCCAATATCATTCCTCTAGATGTTTCTAAAATAACTACAAACTTCTGAAATAAGTACAAACCATTAAGTTTATTTTTGTTATTAGTCTGTTGTAGTAGATTGGTAAATACAATGAAAAATATAGGCAAATATCCGATCTATTTAAAGATACCAAGAAGATATAACTCTCAAAAAGATCCGCAAATCGGATTATTACACGGCGATTGGCAACATTGACTTTGGGCTGCGCTCTAGTTCTAAAAGGAGACGGATAGTTGAACGATATTTTATACAATGTCTATCACCGGGTATGGATTTATTTTTGTCCAAGTTTTATATTGGTCCACTATTTCAAATGCAGTTCAAACAGACATATATTAAATTGTATGATCCGTTTTAAATTCGTTCAATCTGTATGTGGTTCAGGACTGTAATAAAAAAAGTAATGCAAACATGTACGATGTTCGAATTTATGGTAAATGATAGTGGAGTGTGAAGAATACGATACACTTTGAACTTTATAAATACAACTTTGAACTTTATAGAATATACCAGAAACCAGATATTGTAAAATATATTAAAATAGGACATCCTGGGTGGATAGTGCATGTAATGGGGATGGAACAAAATGAACCAGCTAGAAAACCAGAGAAGAAGAAGAAGACCCAAAACAAGGTTTTTTGATAACCTCGATGAAGACATGAGAAATATGGGAATACATGCCTGGATAGTGACGACTACAAAGAAATTATTGAGCAGGCTAGGACCTGTACAGAGTTGTAAGCCAGTATGATGGTAGCTTGCAGTTAATACTTTGAAGTGGTTCGCATGATGCTAAGAGAGGAAAATACAATACTTCGGTCATGTGTTGAAGGAGAAAGATATGAATTACTTCGAATGAGTAGGAAGACACCAGAACTCGTGGCTGAAAAACCTGAGATGATTTGACCGTTCATCCGCAGAAATATTTCGTGCAGCAATTTCGAAAGCTACAATTTCTAATGTCTAATGAGCGACAACAGATTTATACAAGCTTTTTCATTAGTTCTGGAATATGAAAATCCCGAGTGGATGTCTTCAATTCACTCATTAATTTACTATGGTAATATGTTATTTCTCATTAACTACTCACGATTCTCTCTTATGCAAAAAGCAGGAAACATTATCGTCCAAGTTCAACATATTCATCCAAGTTCAACATATTCATCCAAGTCCAAGTATAAATTTGCGTTTGTTCAAATGCACTTATACGGTTATATTATACGGTTATACCTGTTGTAAATCTTTGGATTTATTTAGTTATAGTGAGATATAAAAGTTGTTTTGACCTAGCGACTCAGCTGAGAAATTTATGGAAAAATCTTTATAGATCTCAATTATTTCTAAATCTTTTATCCTGTATATCTCGAAAAATATCATATCTACCATAAAATAAAAGTAAAAATAATTTTTTCAGTACGTAAACGAGAAAAAACTGTAAATCTACAGTTTTGAAAATTTGCTTATGGAAAAATTGAAAAACTATTTGAAGTTTCATAAAATTTGGTAAAATTGATTTGCCTCAAAAACAAAGGCTTAAGGAAAATACGATACCCATTTGTTTTGTTTTTACTAATTTTCTTTATCAATATACATACCATAAATATAAAATGTTTTTTTCCATCACAAATGAAAAAAAAATATATTCAAAATTTCATTGGCTTGATAACTTTTACAATATTTTCTAGACCTTTTTTTTAATCTTAAAGGTCTATTGTTTGTTCTATTTTTTAAACATATAAAAATCTAATAATGGATTAGCAATAAAAATATTTATATACATAGAAAACAGCTGGCAGCTTGCAAACTTATTTATACTTTGAAGACCTCCAAATTGTATATTATAAATAAGAATGAAAGTTTAATTACAAAACTGGCATTATAACCACAATTTAAACTAGCTGTAAACTAAATCACACACACACACACTCGGAATAGCGAATATTGCTGTTACTATATTAACAAAAATTTCTATATAATCCGGAAAACAGTAAAGTAATAAACAAACGGCATGAGGCACTTAAGAAGTGATGATATAAGTGAATACTTCTTAAAGCGCGTTATTTACTATTTAATTTCTCATAACATTTAATTTCTTTAAAATTAAAAAAAATTGGTTAATGATTTTAGTAATTTTCAAAATTTGTTAAATAGAATATAGAATTTATTCATTACTTACATGTTCATTATTAACTTGCATTTATGTTTAATTACTTTATTTTGATTATCATTATATTTCATTATGATGGATTAAAAAAAACGGAATCTGGCACTCCAGGAGTAACTGAGAAGCGAAGCATAGCTTTCTTAGAGTCTGCGCATGGAGAGATAATTTTAATTTAATTTATTTATTTCATATTATTTTATTTTTTAGATTTTATTTGTTTTATTTAATTTTCATTTCATTTCATTTTATCTTAATTCATTTTACTTTAAATTAGTTTATTTTAAGTTATTTTTATACAAATATTTATACCGCATGATTACTGCACGCATCTCGATATTTCGAGTCACGCAAAATATTGTTTCTGGCCCGTGCAAAAATATCATACCGAGCGATAAGAAGTATTCACTTTAAAAAGAGCTAATAAAAGAAAAGAAAAGGGTAAAAGTAGAGGAAGAGAAATAAACCAGGTAGTAAAAACAAAAATCTTAACAGTCTCATCTTTAAATAAAAGAAGATAAAATAAAATATTTTAATGTCGAAGAAAGTAAGCCAGTAATTTCGCCTGGAAGACAAAGTGTATAATATGACAAGTAATTCGCTGATATACAAACTCCAAATAGAATAAATGATGGTTTAATTATAGGTAATGACCTAGGGTTCGGATAATTATGCATTTATAGTACTACCATCTTTCTAAGAAACTCATTAATGTTCAGTTCATACCTCGAACAATAGCCCCTCGCTGAGTGCCTGGACAGCATTCGTTCCAATCAGCAAAAGATCTACCAACCAACAGTGAGATATTTCAGATTTTAACGGTCTGCATATAGCCCAGAGTCACAGAGGTCTCTATTTTCTGCTACCAAAGGTACAGGACGACTAAGCAGTGGGAAACATGGGTGAGAATGCCTGCCTTTCTGACTTCTAACTACCACCATATAATTGGACTAACATGGCAGTCATGTCTTCTACATCCGTAATACGCATATAAAGCAACTTACATAGATTTGTTTCCGAAAAATTAGAGTGATTTAAAATATTAGGATTAGGGAAATATCCAAGAAATGTGAAGACCATAGGATTATTAGCCTGATGAATTATATATTGAAACTTTTCCTACGAGTAATACACAATAGAGTATACAATAAACTAGACGAACACACTGGTCAAACTCAATTTGGTTTTAAGAATGGGTTCGGAACAAGAGAAGCACTTTTTTCAATACGTGTGCTAGTTGAAAGATGTAGAGATGTCGATTCTGATGTATACTTGTGTTTTATAGACTTTCAGAAGACGTTTGACATGGTGAAACATGATAAACTAATAGATATTTTAAGGTCATGTAATATCAACGATAAAGACTTAAGGATCATTTCAAACCTTTACCAAGAACAAAAGGCTAAAATCAGAATAAAAAGCGAAACATCTGGAAAAATCAATATCGAGAAGGGAGTAAGACAAGGATATGTCCTATCACCTTTGCTGTTCAATGTTTACTCTGAGAAGATATTTCAGAAAGCTTTGGAAGGCACCTCGGATGGTATAATTATAAACGGCAATGTATAAATAACCTGCGATATGCTGATGACACTGTCATACTGGCAGATAATGCTGAAGCCATGCAACGCTTAATGGACCGACTAGCGACAGCCTGTAGAGAATTTGGAATGAAATTGAATACAAAGAAGACAAAAACGATGGTCATCAGCAAGCACCGAAACAGAAGGGTGAAGGTCAATGTCGACGGAACATATCTGGAAAGAGTAACAAGAACAACGTATCTTGGAAGTAATCTTGACGCAACTTGGGACCACTCACTAGAGATAAGAATACGCCGGGAAAAGGCACGTACAATGTTTTACAAAATGTAAAAAGTTCTATGCAACCGCCAGCTGGGCATCTCATTGAGAACTAGAATACTTAAGTGCTATGTTTTCTCCACCTTGCTCTATGGTGTTGAACCCTGGACAATGACAGAAGCAACACAAAAAAGAATCCAAGCATTCGAACTCTGGTGTTACCGTAAAATGCTCAGAATATCCTACATGAGCCATACGACAAATGCGGAAGTCTTGCGGAGGATGAATAAGGAAAGAGAGCTTATGCTTATAATAAAAGAACGGAAAACACAATATTTTGGTCACATCATAAGAAATCAAAAGTATGAACTGCTCCAACTTATAATCGAAGGCAAAGTCAATAGCAAAAGAGGACCAGGAAGAAGACGCAACTCTTGGCTTAAAAACCTACGGCAATGGACGAACATGACCTCCATAGAACTATTCAGGGCTGCTACAAATAAGATTAAATGGGCAAATGTAATGGCCAACGTCCTTAAGGATAAGGCACCGTAAGAAGAAGAAGAGGAATAGGGACATAGTTTAGAGGCAGATAGTGATCTCTATTTCCTGCCATTCACAGTAGATGCCGCCTACGTACTCGTCTCCACTCCGCATTGGAGTAAATATGGGAGAGTATCCGTCTTTCTATCTTCGAGTTTCTATCTGATGAGCCCCCCGAAACCATAGTAGCTAAAGAGTGAACGGATTAAAACTTTTACGGATCATAGACGAATAAAACAGAAAAACCATGTCATAACTATTAGACCAATAAAACTTCATAATACGACAACATTTAAACTTCACTGGTGTCGCATAAAGAAACAATATACAACCACACATATAAAATAGTCACTTTATTTTTTTGTAGCAGCTGCCAGTGTACAGTTATTAATATATTCCTTACTTACTAATCCATTACCAGTATAAACATGCATGTTAGTAATTTTGTACAAAAGAAAATATATTAAAAGTAACACACACCCTTCGATCTGCTGCGGAAAAAATTACGAATTCTTTTGCAAAGATAGATCTTAAGAATTGATAGTTGTCAAATAGTTCATCTAAAAAGAAGAATATATCCGTAAGTACCATGAAAACCAAACTAGTTTTGCTGTTGCAATACGATATCGTGCTGACATGCACAATGTTTTACATCTACCTCTACTATACATTATAAATTGTTAGACCATTTGTTTGTATATTGTGAAAGTATCATTTATAGTACACAAGATTTTATAAAGCATTTAGGCGAAACATCTGACACTAGCGTCATATAATTCGAGCTTTGAATGAGTATATGTGGGAAAGGAATATTCTTAATTTTAAAATTTTATTTTAACTATATGTGCTATTCTAACCTTTAGGCAAAAAAACCAAGAGTCGTAACAATTCTATTAAGGACACTGTCTTTTATATTTTGGGTACAGAGATGGGATAAAGCTGAGATCATTATTGTTCGAAGTATTCTTCACGAATATTACTACTATTTATCATTCGCTCAAACCAACTCTGGAAATAATTGTTTTTCTTCTTGTTTTGGCATACCCAAAAAAAGACTTATTCCTCTGACGACTGGAACCTATGAATACGAAGTCCGTTACAGATTTTCAGAAAAGTAAAAACATCGTTGATGTTTCAATCCTGGCTCCCCAGGGGGAGTGTAGTGGTCGACGTGATGTCGTGTATTGTCCGTCTCCAGAGATCTCTGTCTCTGGTCATTTCTTTTAATTCATGCATAGGTCTTTGGCATATTCCTGTAATTTGATCTATCCATCTTGTTGGGAATCTTCCTCGTGATCTTCGGCCTTCTACCTTTCCTTGTATTATGAGTCTTTCCATGTTTTCTGTGTTTGCTCTCATAACATGCCCAGAATAGTTTAATTGTTGGAGATGGACTTTACTAGAGAGTCGTTGGCTAACTTTTAGCTCTCTTAAAATTGAATTATTTGTTCTACGGTCGGTCCAAGGAATTCGTAACATTCGTCTCCAAGAGAACATTTCAGTGGCGTCTATCTTTCTTCTCTCCGATTGTCTCAGAGTCCAAGATTCACATCCGTAGGTCAATATTGGGAATATTAAGCAGTTGATCAACCTCATCTTTATCGCTCTTGAAATTTGACAGTCCTTCCATATTTTGGTCATTTTTGTTGTGGCAACTTTTGCTAGATCACATCTACGTTTAATCTCCTCTTGTAATGACCCTGTGTTTGTAATTAATGATCCCAGATATAAGTATGAGCTCACAACCTCGAACCGGTCAATTGTGGTTATGTGTGGATGATTGTTGTGTAGTCTATCCACTATCATGATCTTTGTCTTTGATATGTTTAATTGCAGACCAAATATTTGACTTTTGTTTTCGATCAGTCGTATAAGTTCCATCAGCTCTGCTTGACTATTTGCAAAAAGGGCTGTGTCATCTGCGAAACGTAGGTTGTTTAGTTTATGACCATTTATTGAGATGCCCTTTTCCCATCCTTCAAGTGCTCTTCGCATAATATACTCCCCATATATGTTGAATAATTGTGGAGATAGTATACATCCTTGTCTGACACCCCGTTCTGGATGAAACTCGTTCGAAAGTGTGTCAAGTACTTTAACTTTAGATCCAGTAGTGTGTTCATATAGTTCAGTTATAAGCGTAATTAGATGTTGTGGTACGCCTACTTCTTTTAGTATTCGCCATAAGTGTCTCCACTTGACCCCGTCGAACGCTTTACGGTAATCTATAAAACAGATGTATAGTGGGATGTTGAATTCCCTAGATTTCTCGATTATCTGTCTTATATTCAGCAGGTGTTCTCGAGTGCCTCTACCTTGGTAAATCCAGTTTGCTCTTGTGGAATTTCTCTTTGAGGGAATGTTTTCAGTCTCTCATTGATTATATGTAGCATTATCTTGCTGGCATGGGATATAAGAGAGATAGTTCTATAATTGTCGCATTTATGGGAGCTGCCTTTTTTATGTATGGTCGTTATTGTGGATTTTGTCCAGTCTTCAGGCCATTGTTTGGAATGCCATATTTGGTTACAGAGTAGATGAAGTAACTTTACGCCGGTTTCTTCTGTGGCTTTAAGCATTTCTGCTGTTATCATATTTGGACCTGGTGCTTTGTTATATTTGAGCTTGTTGATAGCCTGTCTTACTTCATTTTCGAGTATATCAGGTTCTTCTTCCACCTCGTCAGAGATTTTGCTAACAAGCTCTTGGCGTTGATCATCTTTATATAGGTCCATGCAATACGATCTCAATGTCTCTGCTATGTCTTCTCTGTTTGTTCTCAGGGTTCCAGTGTTATCTTCAATGGCCCAAGTTCTGGCTCTGAAGTCTCCTGTAAGGTATCGTATTTTTCTAAATAGATCTCTCGGCTGATTGTTCTGACCATGTCTCTCAATTTCTTTGCATATACTTTGATAGTACCTACTGTTTTTGTCGGCCTTACATCTTCGTTTTATTTCTTTATTGAGGTTTCTTAAACTAGCTTTTTCCCTTTCACTATGTACACCACTTTTACAAAGATTTCTTCTATTCTCAATTACTTTAAGAGTTTCATCTGTTATCCAGTGTTTCCGTTTCACCGGATTATTTTTCTTTATCGAGAAAATTCTTTGTTGAATTTCTATTGAGTATTCTTTGTTGAGAATACGTCGGGATTATAGGAAAAATAATTTAACAATTCGATGTTTTGTTTCGTAAAAATTTGAATAAAAAAAGATGTCTTGTGAGAAAGAAATATTTCTAGAATTTCGTGAAATGGCTCCAAAAGATGGTCTCGAGATTTCGAGATAAATCTCACGACCATCTTGGAGATATATCGAGAACGGATGAGATTTGTGTGCTTTTCTTCATGGTGGAATACACTAATAGATGAGTGGTGATTTATTTCTGACTCGTATGCTTAAACCCTTGATTGGTCACCACAGGTAATGTTTTTTGAGGTTCCTGTTTAGAAGCGATCTAGAGCTTTTTGACACCAATTCGACATATGTTCTTGATGTTTTTCTGGGAACAAGAACAGCAAGTAAGCAAACAAGAAGCGATTTTTTTTAATTGAGGTCTTTGGAATCCCCAATGATGTCTTATTCCGAGATATGACACACGTCGATCTTAAAGTGCGCACTTGCGCAGAGCATTGGCTTGCCGTTTACCATTTTTGGTGCTCCTCTTAGATCGGCGCTATGATTATTCCGTTTACGTTTCAATTTTCATTTATGTGTCCAATTACGTTTGATTCATCAGAAATGAGACGAATACTTTGGCCAGACAAAAGTAAAAAGGGAACCCTGGCAGAGTTTCTCAAAACAAATGGAATACGACTTCTACGGAATAGAAAAAGAAATATGGAGAATGATCAGAGGACAAAGAAAAGAGATGAACGAACTAATAAAAACGAAACACATTCAGATGAATATTTGAATAATAGTTAATAATACTTTCGATCCATATTTGCTAAAGGTGACGATAATGAATCACCACCATCAGAATTGATGACAAGCGAAGAAATAAACATTGAGGAGGGAGATGTAAAGGAAGCATTAAGGAAATCAAAAAATAGAAAATCACCAGGAGAGAACAGAATACCGAATAAAATCCGGAGGACCAGATCTGACCAAACAACTATTAAAACTAATAAAAAAATAATCGAAGACATCAAGACAATACAAGAATAGAGATCAAGCATCCAAAAATTCCAATTCCTAATCAAAAAAGGAGACCAATCGGATCCGGAGAATTACAGAGGAATTAATTTACTAAACACAATGCTACAATTAACAGCCAAAGTAATAACATATAAACTGAACGAAGTTATGACAATAGCAGAAGAACAACAAAGATTTAGGTTAGGAAGACCATGCACCGTCGCTATATTATAATGAGTCAAGTGCAAGAGATGTCCTTAGAATATATCTGGCATATTTATGTTTCGTGGATCTTACGAAGGTATTTGACAGTGCTAAATTAAAGGACGTTGCCCACATATTGTACGCAAGAGAGGTACCTCTATGAATAATCAAAACGATCGAAAATATCTACCAAAACAACACAGTAAAAATAGAAGAAGATCTAACCGACCCTATTGAAGCTGGCAATGGGATGTAACAGGGAGATTCCCTGAGTCCTCTATTGTTTAACCTGATTATAGATAAAATAATAAAAAAGTAAGAACTAAAAAATGACACCAAATGGGAGAAAAATAACTTAAAATATCGGGAGAGAAATGAAAGGCCGAATATACAGTTATCAGAGAGGACAAAAATATGTTAGAAACAGCAGAAATAAAACCACTTGGAAAAATTGATGGTAAGATACATGGGACAGAGCCAGAAGTACAGATATACGACGTAGATGGAAGGTGGAAACCATCAAGAACTGGGTAAGAAATAAAAGAGTAGAATGGAATGATCATATAAGTCAAATAACTACAAATATAGTAGTAAATGGCGAGAATGGTTCGCCAATAAGAAGACGATCATTGGGAAGACCACGAAACCGATATCTTACTGAAGGCACAATGGAAAAGAGACAATGTATATCTACACAAAAAGAAGAAAAGAAGAAAACGTTTGAATTCTCCATGCCACTACGAAATTAATTCATGATGTGGTTTTTCAGCGTGTGTGGTGTGATGGTATTAGAATTCGATATAATTTCATTTTCCACTACCTTGTCAACTTTGAAAGTCCGTTGTAGTTACAAAGAACATTCGTCATATCCCGACGAAAAGTCACTAACTGACATTTTGTGAAAAAACTCATTAACTTCGCCGATCACATGAAATTCATCATATATTTCTATTATAAAAATCACTACTTGCTAAATGTGGTTCTAACTGGCTATTTTTGTGTGTTAAAAAATCACTAACCCGTTAATAGAAAATATTAGGCAGCCAAAAATACCTAAGTGACTTAGTAACTTTTTACATACGAACAAATTATAGAGATATGCGTTAAAACTCATTAATGGCACTTATTGAATTTTTCAAGAATAATAAATCACTGCTGTGTTTGATTTTACACTTCTATTTCTCAGTTATTGATATGCAGTTAGTGAGTGAACACGT